GCCACCTCACAGGAAAAGCATAGGGAAAAGCATGATGCTTAGTTGGCGTGGGAATCTGTCCCATAATTTCAAAAGTTGAATTTAACTGTTATTTGTATGGGCTGGCCTGGGATTCAGGTTTCTGCAATGGGCCTGTCCGTACTTCTCCCTTTATTCTTTTATCGGGTTTGGGGTGGACAAATTTCAACTGTCTTGGGAATAGCCAATTCAAACTCCCAACTCCCAAATAAACCAGTGTAGGTAACCTACTTTTAACCCTTTTGACTTTTGTTCTTTCACTATCRGGGTCCGGATATCCGTGAGCAGCTGAACTGGCGTTCGGCGGGGTAAAACACCATGAATTGGTTAAACGATCAAACCCGTATTGAGATACCAGTCCTGGGTCTCCGTGAGAGATGTTAGTGGGTCCGATACACAACGGGTTAGACTCAACCTGAACCTAACCCAGTTAAATAGATAGGTACCGACCCAACCCAACTCATCCCATGTATAAAGCATCTATATATAAACATTCAAGGAATTTCAAGGAATTGGAGTGTCAATGGATAGGTTTTGGGTTGGAAATGTCCAAATCAAAATCATTTTTGATGGATTGGATGGATCAATAAGACATATTGAATTAGACTAATTCAGACTTAATGGTTCAAAGTATTTATTGGATTGGATTGGACCTGGTCTTTCTGTAATGGATTTATATTAAATTGGGCCAGATCAAATCAATATCCGGTCTTACAAGGTGCCAACCAGCTACTTTGTAACTTTGTAAGGTCTCCTGTTGGTCATAACCGACACTTGGAATTGAATCCCATCTACACCTAGGTTGGGGGATGGGCTACCCCCTGTTGTATAGCCATTAGAAGAATGCATATTTGGATTGAAACCAATTTGAACAAATTGGACAGTCCAGACATTGAATTGGACCAGTCTAAAATAGTCCAAAATATTCATCATATTGGATTGGACCTGATCCATATGTAATGGGCTTATATTGAATCGGATCTGATTGGACCAAATTCGATCCAATTGACACCCTATCAAGAGGTTGGTTTTAGCATAAACCTATTTCAACCCAAACTTAATCAAACCTAACCCAACCCTATCCCGATAGGATCGGGTCAATGCAGATTTACCACTTAACCCGATTCACTGACAACCCTAGTCGGTAGTGAGTTCAAATCTGTGCCCTACAATGGGGCTCCCCACAGCTCATCCCCGCTTTGTATCGGAAACATCTCCCAATGATGCCATTATATTCCCAATACAAGGCGGGGATGCGCTGTGGGGCGCAGATGTAAACTCGTCAGTAGTCTCTATGAGAAATAGTAGATCAATAGTCAACAGATGCCACATGACTATTTGGAGGACCCAATAGTGAATATAGCTCCAAGGGTGCATTCTCCATCTTTTGACAAATTTTTTATAAGGAGAGATGCGTGCATCAAGCATAATAACAGGCATGTGGCTTCAACTTRCAGTTTGTTTATCAACAGTCTACATGTAAAGCACATACATTAAAGAACTCTATTACCAGACTAACAACATGTGAATGCAATCTATAATCATGGCGGTCATGATATGCACATGATCCAAGTGATCCCTCACCAAAGCTCATCAAAGACTCAAGAGTTCTCCCAGATTTAAACATGGGCGCTGTTTTCAATCTATTCAATTTCCTTACAAACCAAGTAAAGAATGCATGCAAAAATATCATATTTCTTCCCCAATAGTCATTTTCATTTATTTTGAAAGGAGTCTCATTTGGCTTTTTTTGTTTTTATTTTTTTTCCCTCAATTGCACTGTAATGCATGCCTCGACAATTGCAGCTGCATTGAGCGTTTGATGTTCCGGATGGGTCTCGTGCGGGTTGTAATGTTAACAAAAAACGTAAGAATGTGCTACCCTCAGTTTTGTGTAGCATCTTTGAWTTTCTTATTAGGCTTAATTTGGAAGGAGTATAAATGCAAATTTGTAAAGTGTAAAATCTTGTATTTTGTACTTTACAATTTTGAAAATATGTAGAAAATAATATAAAATATAAAGTTTTGCACTCTACATATTTGCATTCGTGCTCCTTCCAAACTAAGCCTTAAGAAAAAAGAGAGAAAGCCAATTCTGTACAAATAAGCTTATTTTGGGAAGAGTATAAATTTATACTGTACAATATTTGTATTTGCACTTTTCCCATACARAGTGATAAAGTATCATTAAGACTTTTAATATCAAAATTTTTAGGGCTTGATTGGTTAAATCTTTTCCAATATCACGTCTTTCTTTTTGTATTGTAAATTTTTTTCACCTTAGACTGAATTTGAAAGGAGTATAAATGCAAATATGTAAAGTGTAAAATCTTATATTTTGTATATATTTGCATTTATACTACTTCCAAACTGAGCCTTAAACATACGAATACGGAATAACTACATGAGCCCAGCCCATGAGGGGTGGCTAGGGCCACGTGGGCTGGGTCAAGTTGGATCCAGTTATTATGACCCACTGTGCTGGATATCGTCGAGCATTGATCCAGGCCCAAGTTATACTGCGACACCTTTGATTAATCCCACTCTCTCGGGCTAACAAGTCTACTCATAAAACCATTTGAATCAGTTGGTTGAATCATTTGAACCATTACTTAGTTATGATTTTTGGTCTAATTGTACAAAACCTAAGAATTGATAAAAAAAATAATGATCTGGTAAAAAACCATCAATCCAGATAATTGGACTGTTGATCTGTTCGATTTGATGATTAAATTACGGGTTAAACATTAAATGTTATGCAAATTTTCATAGGCGCATTATCTTGCTATTTTTCATGAAAAACTCTTTTTAACCTTAAATTACAATTTTCAATTTTTTTTTTACAAATGAAAAAATAAATAATTAAATTTAAAAACATAGTTAAATATAAAATTATATATATTACATATAAAATATAATTATACATATATGGTCTTATCCGTTTGACCGAGACGGTCGGTTTTTAAAACATTGGATCACACAGGCAAAATGGGAGTGCCATTTCTAAAATATAAAAAGTATCAAGGATGCTTTTGTAATTAGAAGGTTGCTTCATTAATCGGAATCGGGAATCCTACTAATTCCTAAACCGTTAAACGTACACTTTGCGCCGAAAAGCGTATGTTAGCAATTCCATTTGCAATTTTGCATGCATTTTCGTTTTCTCAAAATTCCCAGAAATTATTTTCCGTCGTCTCGCTTCTCCCTCCGGACTCTCCCGCTCTCGCCAACGTAATACTCCGAAGTCCGAACTCGAAATCCTCTATTGTCTCCCGCCAATCTGAAACCCTTAAAAAGTTGAAACTTTTGATTTTTTTTAATACTCACTTTCTCATTCAATTCGACCAAACTGCCTTAGCAGGGTTCTCTGCAACCTCACTACCGTATCTCTGCAGCATTTCCACTGTGAAAGGTACGTAGGTTTCATTTTCTTTGCTTGTCTTCATCGTGGAGATTTTCTCTGTGGGATTTCATTTGGTTTGTGCTTCTTCGTTCACATTATGTTGGTCTGTTGGTTGGGTTCCGGTGTTTTAGCGCTCTACGGGATGTAGTTTGGTGCATTTAGAGTGTTAGGGGTTTGCTTATTTCTCCCTTAGTTATAATTAGAAAAGAGTGATTTTCAAATTTCAATGGATACTGAAGACATTCATGACTTCGAGTACGACTAAACTTAGTTTCAGCTTGAAGTTTGTCTTAAATTAAATGTTTTGGTAGTTTCTCGAGATTTGTATTGGGTGGCGAAGTATTTTGAAGGAGGTAAGGGTGGCATATACTAAGATTTCACTTGGACTTGGTTGTTACAAACCAAATTGTTGGGCGTTAAAGAATTCACTTCCTTTTTTTGTTCTTTGAAACATTTTATTTGAAAGTGAGCTTGGGAAGTTCTGAAATGGACTTTTACTTCTCCATGAGGATTGGCCATTCTATTAATTTACTATATTTTAACAGCAAATATGCATTGTGAGAATCCATTCCCTATTTTTATTACCAGGTTTTATTAAAAATGAACCGTTTGTCAAACGGGTATTCTGAGAAAAATCCTATTTCATTCTGCAGGAAATTTCCCAAGAGTATTGAGCTGGATGGTTTTGTGTTGGACCAATTGTAATATATTGGAATTATAGGATATAGTTGGCAATGCAAGCATTTTGCCCCCCTTTGACTTTGAGGTGGTTTTGATGCTTCTGTTCCTGGTAGTGAAATGGTTCATGCTTGGTTTACATGTTAAGTTATAGATTTTGAAATGTATGGGAAAAGGAAATATGCCCCTCCATTCAGACCAGGTCCTACAACACCCCCACAGTTCCAACAAACTCCACTTGTTCCTCCTTTCCAGCAAGGCCTTCCTGCGCAACCACACACTATAATTCAGCAAGGGCATTCCGTTCCACCACCTCATGTAATTCAGCCAGGGGCTCCTCCTGTTTACCAGCATGGCCCTCCTGCCCCACCTCCTCCACTTCAGCAAGGAAGACCTCCACCACTACCTTTGGTTCAGCAAGTTTCATCACTGCAAGTTCATCCACCATCAGGCCATGGAAGTTCCCCTCTGGTACCTACTTATTCAACTGCTCCACAGAATTCCCAGTATCCTTCAACCATAACAAATCATAATGTGCATCTTCCACTACCAGTTCCTCCACCTCCAGTTCCACCTTTTACGGGGGCCAAGTCACCCAGAGATGACCCGGGGCCCACCTCCTAGAGTATTACCTTCTCCTCCCTCACAAGGACAAGTACCATATAGGACTCTTTGTCTGCCACTTTCTGGTACTCAAGGTCCTCAAAACATCCAATCATTACCTCCCCCACCCCTGTCAAGTTATGTTCCTGTCACCCCTGCTTCTTTTGCATCTTTTGGACATTCTCCTTTTGAAGATGCTCATCCGCCTTCAATACCACCACCTCCACCTCTTCCACCATCACTATCACAATCGCCACCTCCATCTTCCTCTCCAAGCCATTCAGCTAGGTGTTCTGAGGCTTCATCAACTATGTCCTTAGGTGCTGGTTCCAACCTGGTCCACCATACAGAATCCGGTTCCAATTCTGATAAACGATCTGATTCTTCTGAGGTTCTGGTTAACAATTCTGTTGATCATATAATGGGCCCTGCCCAAACCTCAGGGGACATGCCCACACATAACAATGCTCCAAATGGTGAAGGTGCAACCAGTGGTAAGATAGGTTCTATGGTGGAAGATGGATTATCATACAAAGAACAATCAACTTTGGAACTTCCTCCAGCTCCACCTAAGCCATCAGAAGAAGTTGTTCAGAAAATTGAGGATTTGTGCTATTTTATTGCTAAGAATGGCCCTCAATTTGAAGATGTAGTTCATAAAAATGAATCAGGGAATCCAGAGTTTGCTTTCTTATTTGGTGGTGATTGTGGAAGTGAAGCTGCAATTGCACATGACTATTTTCAGTAGGTCAAAAGAAAAACCCATCTGGGATCAAAATTAAATAATGTGTTGCAATGTGATTCATCAGCGAGGCATTCGGGATATGATTCTTCAGTGAGAGCCATGGATGAAAGTGCATCTCATTCACTTGCAGATTCTGACATGGATATGGAAGGTTGGTGTATTTTATACTATCTGTTCCATTTTACTCTATTAATTTTTTAATTTCTATTTTCTAGAGATGCCCGTGGTTTTTTTTTTTTTTTTTTGTGTGTGTGTGGCACATGGTAACTATGGAATTCCAAGTTTGATATTGAAGTTTGACTTGTTGACATAAGGTATACATTTTTTTCCCTGTTAGTCATGAATCATGGAATTTTATTATTTTGGACTTTTATATTTAAACTTCGGATGGTCATCTAATTTAATGTATTAACAATATTAATCAGTTGATTGTTTCATGAATAGGTATAGCGTTGCTGAGCTGTAATCTGAAAAATAAGATTTCATTGCTCATAGAGAAAGTAAATAAATGAAGGGATGACGACATCGGGAATCATTTTATATGGTAATTGGAATTGTCGTTGCACATCCACATCTCTATTCCCTGAAGCATTTTCATTTCACTTTAGACTGATCCAAATCTTAATTGAGCTTACAATCACTCAATTTCTGTACAAACAAGTAAACTAGTATTCATGTGGAAGAATCTCAGAATTAGTCTATGAAATGCAATAAATGCTAGGGAATGCTACTGCAACTTGAAGGATTAACATGGGTTAAGCACTTGTAATTGGGGCATACCTGTTTTCTAAATAACTTAATCATACCTTTCTTATGGGGGAAATAGAGATAGGGATGGGGATATTTGTATTATATTCTTGAATTTCCAGATCTTTCCTCTATCCTTTACCTGGGAATACACATGCACAATAAGAATCAAACATGGACCTTTGTACAAGGCTCCACCAGTATCACGTTGTTGAATACAATCAACTCTAGAATTTTTGCTTCAGATGGAGTTATTTCTTAGGCACTGAATAATTGGCATAAAGTCTAAAGCATCAATTGCCGATTCGGAGAGCATTGTACAAGTCTTATTACTCACTAGTTCAGTAGTTTGTGGTTAACTCTTAATAATGTGGTGGACACTGAAACCCTGAACTCTATGAGGTTAATAGACCTGACTACAGGCCTGACAAGGCTTAACATTTTTAAGGTGAACATAGAATAGATGATGGGAAAGCAGTGAACAAATTGGAATGTCAAAATAAGATTCATGTAGCCGACCCCAGTAGATGATTATGGTGATAGAATAGACAAAGGAAACTTAAAAATACTGAGCAGTCAATTGGTAGGAATTCTAAAGTCATGACTAGTATACCTAGGGATCCATCTTAGTTAACTGAAAGGGATGATAAAGCTAAGGAAAATCTCTCAGATGAGAAGTGGGATCTCTGTTTCAGACAGTGGACACGATAAGAAAATAGATAAAGCTTGAGTTTGAGTTTTTCGTCAGAGGGTTGGGTGGGCTCAGGGTGTTTTTTCTTATGTGTTTTATGGCAAGAGTTGGAGGGTGTTGGATCTACAGTTTTTTGGTTGCTTTTGTTACTTCTAGTGATTGGTGGGAAGGGTCTCTGCGATATTTGTTGTGATTTTTGTAGTTGTACCTGGGTTTGTTTTAAGGTGTTTTGTATTGTTTGTAGGGCTTTTTTTTTCCTTCTGTTTAAAGGGTTAAATTTGTTAGGACGAGTCTGTCGTATTCTGGTTCTGTTTTTGCTGGATGATTTCTTATCACCTTGTTGTATTCTCTTTTCCCTTCCTCATTTATAAAGTCTATTTTTTATTTATCTTAAAAAAAACTGAAAAGGGATGACAAAGCTACCTTATCTCAGATGTATTGGGTTAATCAGCATGGGTGCAGACTAAACCTGGAAGGCTGGAACTCCATTTGCATTTGATTGGTCCTCTTCAGTACTCTTTGATTGGAAAGTGAGGAAAAATGCAAGGTACTGCTTTTCGTAGCCTAGTTGAGACATTTGAGCTGCTTATCTGAAGAATACATGGGGGGAATGGCTGGATTGCTCCATTGCGACCTGGTGACTAGGGTTCAAATCTTGGAAACAGCCTCTCTGTATGTGTAGGGGTAAGGCTGCGTACATCTGTCCCTCCCCAGACCTGCATTGGTCGTGCACTGGGCTGTCCTTTTATATGAAGAATACATGTAAACTTGTAGAACTCAATGACACAGTTTGGGTATGCTTCTTGTTTTTTTTTGGATTTGTAATATTAAAAAAAGAGTGTACACCTTGGTATCCAAAATGATACAGATACAACAGTACAAACTGCACTATGCTGATAGGCATCCATAAATTAAATCCAGTGTGTGTGTGTGTGTGTGTGTGTTTTTCAATGCAATGGCTATTGAAAGGCTTTCAGGAAAGCAGCAAATAGTCCCGATTTTGTCAATCATGAAATTGGTTTTACTTCATCCAAGGTTTCCTGGTCTGTGAATTGTTGCAGTTGGAAGATTAAAGATTCTCTTTTTGTTTTATGATCTTTTAGATGACATCAACCAGTCTGACAAGGAGCAGGAGTTTGGTCATTCAACTGAAGGATTAAGTTCAGAGTCTGCTTCTATGCATAATGAAATCCCTGTTGTAAGAGAGCAATTCCATGCATCTCAGCATTCAACAGAATGGACAACAGTTAGAGCATCAGTACTGGATGAAGAATATAAAGGTATCAATTCAATATTTCCTTTTTGTGTCAGTATCTTTTTCTTCTTTTTTTGAGTGTTGAACTGCATGACTTATGTTTAGCAAAGTTGGTTTTAAACAGATTTGAATTGCTTTGTTATTTTTCTATTCATTATTATTAGGCGCTTCAAAGTTGAATTTGGAACTGACATCCAATAAATGTGATTAATTGAGCACTTAGAGTTTGGAGTTGGCAAAATTTTTTTGGAAGGATAGCTGTTTGCACCCAAACCTGGATTCATAACTTCAAATGATGCCTATGTTTTAAGGATTGATGTTTGATTTGTCCCATAAACCCATTAAAAAAAAGAAAGAAAAAAAGGTAAAGAAAATTGTGGCCCAAAAATATGCACTTGGTTATGAAATTTGTTTTTATGGCAACCCAAGACTTGCTGCCATTTGTAAACTGAAGAATATTCTCTTAGAGAATTTCCTGTTCTGGTCACGTGGATGAGAATACCTATAATAAGATAGATATTCTTATGTTGTCACGAGGACTCAATATGTTGTTTTTTCTGTCTATCTAGGAAAGGTGATTACATAACCTCCAAAATGATGTGTCCTTTCAAGTTTCAAGTGTTTGTTAAAAAATAGCTGTTTTTTTTGTTCCTGTTTACGCTGCACAAAGAGTCCAGAAAAGGGAGATTCTTGTTGTGTTCAAGGGTTTCTAAACCTGAAAGTTTAGTTGGTTATTGCTGAAGTGGTATTTTTAACTCATTTTATTTATTTCTTTGGTTTTCTTACCCCAAGCTCCCAAAAGGTGCTTCTATTTAGCTTTTTATTAATTAATAAAAGAAGATTACCCTGGTCCCTATATTTGTTAGCTTCTTTTGAAAGGCATGTTTACAGGTGAGGTGCAGTTCGAAGCATGTGTTTTGCTTCAACCTTGACAAACCCCTTTTCAAAGGCATGTACCTAGTGAGCCTTGCACCTTGGCACATTTTATTATTCTAATATTATAATAACAAAATAAGTATCATTACACTAAATAATTCATTTTGTGGGTTTATATACTAGTTGTTTTTATTATTTTCTTATTTGTCAAAATTTGATCAATACACATGTTGGTGTGTGCTGTCTTGAACTTTTGAGGACTTCAAAACCTAAACCAATAAACAAGAACTTAAAGTTTTATATACTAGTTTTGCCCACCCTTTTTTTTCTTCTTTTCCTAGGACAAAAACAGGGGCCCTAAGGGACTCTGAGACCCCAGATATCTTGGTGCTTCTTAGGTCCTTGGAGGGAGCATTAATTGATCCTTAGTGGGACTACTCATTTATAATCTTTAATGAAGCTGGAACTATTTGTCATAATAACAATTGCAAACTCTAGTCTCTCATGTATTGGAACCTTGGTAATAAATACACACTTGAGAAGAAAATGGGATAAGTGCAAGGTGCCAACCAGCTAGTTGGTAAGGTTTCCGGCTGGTCGTAGCGGAGACTTGGGATCAGATCCTGCCTGCACCTGGGTTGGGGGATGGGCTACCCCACGTTGTATAGCCCTTAAAAAAAATAAAAAAAGAAAACGGGATAAGTCTCAAGGTGGAAGGTTAAAATTCTTGAATCAAGATTGATCTCCTCTCTTAAAATATGGTCAATAGGTTTAGGAAAACCATTAAAATCTGGGTACTGGAATGCTCTATTCTCTATGGGTATACAAACTGATCCATAGTGAGACGTGTGTGTTCGGGATTGACTTCATGTCTTTGAACATGGATCTTATATATTTTCTCCTGCATCTGCATAAGAATTTGGCAGCATGTTTCTTCTCTTTCTAACTGAAATGGAACTTTCTCTGAAATTTGATTCACATCAGGAAGGCCACCTACCAAACATCATAGTTCTAACATCATCTTGGATGGAGAAGCTGAATGCACTTTATACAGCAGTTTACAGAAATCTACTAGTCCTCTACATAAAAATGCAAGTCTATTTAGGGTTTCATCTTCTGCTGGCATTGGTTGTAAGGATCGATTTGTTAAAGGCGGAAGTCCATTCAGACTCTTACAAGACTGCTTCTGATGATAGTGCAGAAAATGATGATGATGGGCCATGTCTTGAAGATGTCAGCACTGTAAAGGTCTCACCATCATCTACCATTGGGCCTAAAAGCTCAGACAATGATGTAGAAACCAATTTGGATACAACTATTGGCTCAGGGAGTGCTTCTATGACTGAAAAAGGATTTATATCAGTCAGTGGGTCAGTTGTGGCATGCCCTGTCAGGATGCCAGATGATTCTCCAGAAACACATATAGTGTTGGAGATAACTTTAAAAGCTTCCTCTCCAGTAGATGTTGTTCGAGAAACTAATGAGCTTAGGGTTAATAATCATGGAAACCAAATATCTAGTGATCAGGCTGCTTCTCATCAGGCATTTGAACACAATGATGATTTGCAAGGTGATCTTGCTGATATTGATCCTCAGGATGGGAACTTACAGAAAGAAGATACACAGTCATCTACTCAGTTGAAAGTTGATAAGTTTGTGAGATTAAAAAGAGAAGGTGGCAGTGACAGTGAGTCTGATGGGTTGCGCTATGCTGGTAGGCATGGTAAGAGAAGCAGGAGCTGGAGCCAAAGCCAAAGCCGATCACCCCCTGGTAGGAAGAGGAGTCGCAGTCCACAGAGAAGGGAGAAGCAAAGACGATCTCACAGGTATATGTTATTACTATCTTTTATTGATGGACACTTATTTGGATTTTAATTACTTGTTAATGGTTGAGAGTATTTAGATTTTAGGAGTTTATTTTCTATGCTTAAATATTATTATGAAGTTATTGATTGATCCATGAACATTAATGTTGACTGGGAGATGTTAAAGTTCTTTTTTTTTTTTTTTCAGCTGGTCTCCTAAGAAACAAATAAACCGGACCGGGTCTCCTGCTTTCAGATGCATAGGGGTCAGATTCCAGATTGCTTAGACTTCCTCCAAGGTAGGTGCTACCACGGAACATCATGTCAGTATTTACACCATGATTCCGTTGATGATCGACTGATGCACCATAGGAGTAAACACTGGGAAATTTCACCAGATTCAAGAAACTCTGATAAGCACAGAGAGGTTAAAAATTTTGAAGCAAAAAGGTGTATCTATGACCATGATGATATAAGGGACAAGAAATGCAACCTCATTGGGACTTGTCTGTGGGCAGCACTCTAAGAGATGGTATTCAACCTATGACCTCCAGTAAAGTTGGTCAACTAGAAATTACTCTTGCTGCTACAGTGTCTCAATCTGAGAATTCTGAAGAGGTAAAAGTGCAGGAAGTACAAGTTGACAACGTGCAAGGGGAAGTTTCTGCTCAACTTACAGAAAATGAGAATATTCAGCAGCCTCTTGGTTGACAACTTCATAGGGCAACCTTCTACCAAAGCTGAAACCCATAATTTTTCTGAGGATATTTCTCATGGAGAAGCCCCCTTGGAGGAAAATTCAATGTCTCTTCCATCCAAGGCTGATCTTTCTGTTTCTGCAGCCTCCCTAACACTTCAAAATGCTGTTTACAATTCTCAACAAGATAGTAGCTCTGTAGAATCTCATCCTTTACCTGCTCAAATTTCAACATCTGTACCATGCCAACCTTCTATTAATGAGTCACAGCCAAATTTAGTATTAAGTCAGCCATACCCAAATCCAACTCCTGCTAGCCAGCCTTCTCCATCTCAGAAATTTGAACCTCAGTCTTTGGCTCCTGGGGAATTGCATCCATCTAGCTTTCCAGCTGGAGTTAATCAGTTGCCAACTGCCCATCTACCACCTCCTCCTCCTTTTCCTCAAGATATAGATGCATTAGGGGCAAGCTTTCAGCCTCTGACTGCACCCCTGGTGGAAAGATATCCCTATCAAGCTCCAATGCATGGCCAGCATTCGCATGTGCCAGTTCCACCAAGAACCCCTTGGACATCTCTTCTGGGGCCACCTTCATATGTTAATGAATTCACTTCAAGGCCTGCCATCCGAACTCCTGGTTTTGGTCCAATGCAATTTCAGCAGAATTCCTTTCATCCAAGGAATGATTTCCTCCCCATGCCCTCCCGAGACAGCATCCACATGAGGAGCTTAAACAGTTTCATCGTCGGACCTTCCCACCAATAGATAATTCTCATCAACCTCCTACCCTGCATGCAGAAGGTTTCATATCAAAGCTTCTTCCAGCAGAAAGTCTGCAGAATCAATCATTGAGAGGCCCCATTTTCGGGAGAGAAGAGCAGTTTACAGATTCTGGGATGTCTGAAACTAATCACTTTCGTCTTGCACCTCAGGAAGGTTACCATTTGCATCCTCAATCTCAGCTCAGAGAAGTACACCATGCTGCCCAACCTGTCTGGGATGACGTGCAAAATTTTCAGGTGCTCCAGAACCCAAGGTCTATTTCCCAGTTTCCAATGCAAGGTTTCATACCTTCGAGTTCATACTCCAGGGAAGAATTCGGTGCCTTGTCTACAGGGAAGGCTGATCTTTCTACTTCAAGATATTTGAGCATTTTGGACAGCAAGCAGTTGTCCTGCTTATCTGAGGGAGGATCTAAGATCTCAAATCCAAGTTACTACAACCCATTTGCATCAACTTTTGAACAGCCACCAGGAAGATCCATATTTAATTCTAACTTCAGGCAACATATTGACACAAATTATGGTGGGAAATTTGATTTTCCCGATAGGTTGAGGCATGTTTCAGTGGATGGGAAATGTATTGGTGGTGTTGGACCTAGACACACAGCATCACCACCAAATTCTAGTAAGCTGGGGGAACAGATATTAGCTAAATCTGGTAGTTCTTTATTGCCTGCCTCACTTGGGGGGTCAAATGAATGTGTTCACTCACAAGGAGCATCTTCAGAAGTCTTTCCAGGCACCCAGACTTTGTTACTTTGGGAATCAAGAACTGACCAATATGATCCACTTTTTGACAGCATTGAACCATCTTCAAGTTCAGTTAGAAAGTTTGGTTGTGTTCAAGCAAGAGAATTGACAACTAGCATCATAGACAGGCCTCTCCAGTCCCGAGTTGCTAGTGACTCAGAAACTGTGTTGAAATTCAGTGGGTCACATGAGCTTCTGAATGCAGAAGAGGCCAATAAGCTAAAAAAGGATGCAGCTTTAACTGCTGTCCATTCTCCAGAAAATGATGAATTTGGTGAGACAGCAATGGATGCAGAAGTGGGCGTTGTGGATAATGGGAGTCCAGAAGTAGGGAACAGGAAAAATTGGAGTCCTGGAAATCCAGATGATCCAGCAAACACAGGCATGGGAGAGAATGAGGTTGATCAAGTTCAGACCTCAGGAAAGAGCAAGAAGAGCAAGGATTCGAGATCAATGAAGCTTTTCAAGATTGCACTTGCAGATTTTGTGAAGGAGGTTCTAAAGCCATCATGGCGTCAGGGCAACATGAGCAAGGAGGCATTCAAGACCATTGTCAAGAAAACTGTTGATAAGGTATCTGGAGCAATGAAAAGTCATCAGATACCAAAGTCTCAGGCAAAAATAAATCAATACATTGAATCATCACAACACAAACTGACTAAACTTGTGATGGTAAGTGCCCATTTCCCTAGCCATTTTCTTTCCTTGCTAAATTCTGCAAGTTTAGGTTAATTTTGCATACTTTGAGATGTGTGGAACAACACATTCGTATGCAGTATTGCAGACATGCTCTAATGCATTGGTTTTGAAGGTCAAGATGCATCTAGTAGACTAGTTGTCAACCATCTAGAAGACTCTAATTCAGCTGCTTATCTGGTAATTAATGTGCTTGCTGAGTCTGCATGCACTTCCAGTTGCATTTGCATGCCTAGGCAAGATTTCCAGATAGGCAACTGGATAAAAGGGAGCATAAGTTTCTATTCCTAAAGGTATTATGCAATTTAGCACCAAAAGAAAAGGTGATATGCAGTATTTTTATTCTTATAGGTCAAATATAATCTTGTTACCATGGATGATGAATCACCTTTCATAGGCAGAGTAAGAACACAATACACAGCTATACTAATGGGTCCTTGTGCATCATTTTTTTTTAAGAGTCTTTATCCATCACTGAAATGTTTAGTATCACTCAATATAATTGATTATTATTGGCTTTTCTTTATGAACATTGATTATGTTATTGATGATCATATCAACTAATGCAAAAAAAAATTGGTAATATTCAGAAGGGTTTTGTTACCAGACTAATGCCTAGGAATGCCAGCCAGCTCCTTTCCTTGTTTGGCCAAGTATTTTAACAACCATCTCCACATTACCTTTTTACAAGGAACATAAAATTCTAATGGAGCACTTGTCTTTTGAGCAATTTTTGCTGAAATTAATTAATTTGAAAAGAATTCGTGCAGTTTGGTATTTAATTCATATGTGTTTTATCTTCTTATTTAATTTGAACCGTCTTTTATCAGCAACAGGAAATTTCATTAAATTAGAAGGTGAGAAAGTACAACAAAGCTGGGGATGTCCCTAGCCACCCTTAGTGACTAGATAACATCTCACACCCCAGTTATAAACCTATAATAAAGCCAAAAAAAAAATAATTCCCTTGCTTGGCCAAAGAATCTGCATTTCCATTTTCTGTTCTTTGAACCCATTTAAAGTAGCTCCCATTTCCTTAGCCAACATATCAATCTCCCTTAATGTTTGCTTATAAATCCAAGATCCTGGATTGTCATTTCTCAGCAAAGAGATGACTAGTTTTGAATCTCCCTTCACTTCCAATTGTTGAATCCCCCATTGCTTAGCTATCCTCAGCCCTTGCAGTTATGCCATGACTTCAGCTTTGACAGTCTCCCACTCCTACAGGACCTGAATAAATTGCCTTGATTACACCATTTGCATCCATAAAAACTCTCCCAATGCCTGGGTTACCCAAGGAACCTCCATCAAAATATTAATTGTTTGTTCAGAGAAAGGATAATACGTAATTTTGTTCCAGCGACTTGTAATAAAATCTGATTAGTTTTACGTAGACGATGGCAAAACTTTTTTATGTATCATACATCATTATCTAAGCAGAATCTATAATCTTGTTTTGCAGGGCTATGTCGATAAGTATGTAAAAGTGTTAAAGTTATATCATTCTTGTTCAAAAAAATTGTGATATCATTCACCATCTATGGTTCTTGTGAGCATTGGTGGTAAGGATTTTCTTACTGCTTGTGTTATTGTTCTGTATAACTGTATTGTTTGATTAGTAATCATAGAACCGTTGCATGGTTGGTTGCAGAGATATGCAGTGGATGGGTTTGTGTGCATGTGAAGAATGAAGTTTTTGAGATCTTTTACAAGGCTACTCTGAGCTAATACGAAGAAGAAAATTGGCGTGTAACAAGGTGAAATGACTGATGCAGATACCAAGGAATGCCTGCTTCATTACAGTTGTCAGAAAGATACAAAAAATGCATGTAATCCACTCTCCAAATATCATTTTCACCCCAAGTTTGATTGATATATCTCTCCAATCATTATCATGATGTGTAAATTGTAAAATATTAGACCTTGTAGTCTTGATTCACCAGTGCTTTGATTCTTCATTACTTCTACAGTTTTCAACGTAATCCCTCACAAGAAACAACTTTGATAAGAGAAGGTATTTAACAAATCACAAAGATAAAATTAATTTTTTCCATGTAGATTCGGCCGATTGTTCATTGCTTTCATTGGAAATTTTGACTATATGTTTCATCTCATGTTTCCTTGTTTGCAGTCACAGTTTACACATTTGATGTAATATATTCTTTAATAAAACTTTTTTAAGGTCTCAGAAAGTCATTCATAATGGATTTCATTTTAATAATGTATGTTTGAGTTTATTTTTCGTGGTTGGTTGTCTTCATGTTTCAGCTGGTTCACAAACACAACCAGTGTTTTGGAGGCATTTTTGTTTTGTTGCTGATTCTAGGTTCCAGTACCAGCAAGATCACCATGTTCTGAACACTGAAAGTTAACTTTATGAACACAACCACATGGTTAAAAAAAAGGTGGAGGTGGCAAAGTGATTGTGTATTTTGGGCTATATTCCTATATTGCATAAAATGTAATATATATTTTATACACCTGAAAATATATAATTATATATAATTGGTAATATACTATATGTATTTTCACATATTATTTCATATTTTTAACATAATATATATTATTGTTTGAATAGATGTACGATCAAAGTTAAATGACGATAATGAATTGTTTTTATGCCTGTGACTCAGAAAAATTGACATTGTGTTGTACTGTTGGGCCCAAAAATACGAACCATGAACGGAATGGTTGTTGTGGTTCTATGCAAGGTTTTAAAAATCGGACCGGATATGAAACAGTTTTGGGGACTGATTCTTGGGTTGAATGGTCTGGCCGTCTAGTTCAAATGGATGGTCCATTCCAATTAAAAAATAATTAAAGTAAAAAATGGCCAAAAACTGTTATCTAGGTCAATGGTTTGATCGCTCAGGTCAGCAGATCACTGACTAAATCAATGGTTTTTGGCCCAAAAGTCATTTTAGGGTGCAATGGAAACAGTTGCTTGACCAGTTCCTGGGCCAACCAGACTGACCATCCGGTCCAATCTGGTTTTCAAAACCTTGGTTCTATGTGATTTAGAATACAGCCACAAGCATACATATCAGAATACCTATGATGTTTTAAAGTCAATACTTTCATTTTTAAGAAGAGGTGGTAAGGTTTTGAAACACAAAAACCCTTTTTTGAACCATGAAAAGAAAACCTCCTAAATTCTAGGTGGTTTGCCCTCCTATTCATCCACCTGGGATGTTTGGGTGGGGCTGAGGGTAGCATTTATTTTTACCTATCACTTTTAACTCTTTTCATTAACCAGGAGTACCCTGATTAAGAAGTCCTTAATTGCTTTGAGCACAAGGTCTTAATTAGGTCACCCGGTGCCCCATGCCTTTTTAGCAATTTAGCTTCTGCTCCCAACGAAACATGTTCCAACATGCTTCCAACATGATTTATTGTTGTATATCTCAAACACACTTCATATGACCCCATTAGAGAAGTATGGTTATGAAACATGTTTAGTTGGGAGCAGATCTAAACTCCGTTTCCTAGAAGATTTCTTTGAGGCTATAAATAGATCGTACTCTTAGGGGTGAGTATTCGGTTTATTTGATTAAAACCAAACTAAATAAACCGAAATGAACAATGAAAATCAAATTGAAATCAAATTACAAGAAAACCGAAATAATCAAAATCATTTTTTGTTGGTTTTCATTTATTTTGGTTATAATTGAATTTTATTATAATATATTATATACAATATATTAATATATTATATATTGCATTTTATATAATGAAATTTGGTTAATTAAGTTTTTTTTTTGGTTAAGCAGATTTTTTATTCTGAAAACCAAAACTGAAAATTTCGACTCATTTTTTCAGCTTTAACCTAATAATGCTCACACCCTTACAAAAATTTAACATTCAGGCCAAGGTTATCAATAAAAATAGGGAAATTGTCTAAAACTCACCTTGAGTTTTCAGCATTTCACTTAAACTCACCACAACTTTTCAAAATGTCTAAAACTCACAATGTCACTAACTTGACGTTAAACAAACTAACGTGTGTTAATATATTACCATTTTAACCTTCACAGAAAAATATAAAATGTATACATATATTTTAATAATTAGACATGGAAAACAGAAAAAAGTCCAAAAAACATATTTTCAAATATAAAATACATAAAAATACAGAAATTTCAAAAAATATAAACAATTATAGAAATTGCAAACAAAATAAAAATTTATTTTCAAATTATAGAAACTACAGAAATTGAAAAACAAAATCAGAAAATAAAAATTGTAGAAAAAACAAAAAATTATAGAAAAACACAGAAATTGCAAATAAATAACAAAAAATACAGGAAAAATTATTGATTGTAGAAAATAGAAGAATGTATAAAAACAGAAATTATAAAAAACATTGAAAATTATAACAAAACACTAAAAATGCAAAAAAAAAAGAAAATATGACAATTGAAAACTGAAAAAGACCCTTTTTCCTCTAACTCGCCATCCAAGGATAATTTGGTCATGAAAATTGTTATTTATACTGATATAGACATCTCTGTTAAGAAGCACTACCGGTGCACTAACAGAGGGTAAGTTTGACATGGTGAGTTTTAGACATTTTGAAAAGTTGAGTTTAAGAGAAATGCTGAAAACTCATGGCAAGTTTTAGACAATTTTCCTTAAAAATATTTTACGTATTTTAAATTTTTAATATTGTTGGATTAAGATAAAACCAAATCTGAATGAGGTCAATACATATTCGATCCAAGGTTAAAGGTTCAAAATATTGATACAATATGGTTAACGCAAGTGTCAAATCAGTTTTTTGGGGAGGGGGTGATGACACGGCACTGGCGTAATGGCATTACGCCTGAAGTTGTAATTTTTTCAGGATATAAGACATTTTGAGAAGAGAAAACAAATGAATTGTTCGCTTACCAGGCTAAAAACTGTCTAGCTCTTGCAAACAATTTAGGGTCCGGGCTTGGATCAGTCTGCCCATTTTCTTAGTAGTTTGGGAGACCCTTTAACAGGCCCAGAATGAAAAGCTTTCRTCACTTGTCTTTGTTTAGAACTTTAGATATGAACTAGAAAAGGAAACCAGAAAAGAAAAAACCTGGTATATTCTTCAGATCTGAAGGAAACTGATGATGATTCATGATTACAATGAAGGTCATGAGTCATGGCTTGCAGGAGAAATAAATTCTCAAAAAATAAGAAAAACAAGAGATTACTGATCTCTACCCTCAATGGCCATCTTTCGGCCTAGAGAGAGCAAAAGTTCCCAAGTTCTCTTCCACTGAAATAGGAAACATATATACCGGGATAGTTTTCTATTATCTACTTTTGGAAAGAATACAACAATTCATAGAGTTGTAAGTTTGCAACCACAAAAATTGATTCTCAATTATGCACTTCTTAAATAATCTTTATTTTACAATGCAGAGAACCATAAAGTTGGATTTAGAACCAAGATAAATTTTCTTCCACCTTCCTGGAGCAAATTACATATTCCATGTAATAACCACCCGGGTACCAGACTAGTAGCAATATGACAGCTGAAAGTCTACAACCTCCTTCGCAAAATGGCATCATTAGGCTCGGCCCAAGCCAAGACAGATGYCCTTAGGCAGGTTCAGTTTGATGTAACAGCACATCTTAGTCAGAAGTACATTCAGGAAAGGTAGTCAAATTGACCTGATGAGACAGCAAACACAGAACCATGGGTAAAACGTTTAAGTCCCTCGAAACCTGTGTGCTTTGAACCATTAGAGTTCCAGTGAAAGGTCGGAAAAAATGCCGCCTGCAATTGACGTGTAGATGTATAGCTCTCCTCACTAAACAGCTGTTGGCCCACTTAGGAGGACAGGGCGCAAATTCATGTCCTCAACTTGTCCTTTTGACAGATCAGACTTGTCCAAGGATTTAGAGATGCTCTGGTGCAAAGTTGAAGTTAGAGAGGATACCATTGAAGAGTCATCCACACAAGAAGCAAAAATGTAATTATCTTCAGGTTCCTAATTGCCATCTCTCATAAGAGGAGAATAGAATCTACGGGGAATCAAATCCACTGCTGACCTATTTGCCAACAAAGTAAACAGATCAGAAATACAAGCATTGAAAATGGCACAAAACCTAAGAATTAAGAGCAGGACTAATCAACAAGTTCTAAATGGTACAGAAGTACATATACAGGTAGGCGCAAGGCAAAGCTAGGTGACAGGAACACCTTGTCACCCAGGTAATAGATTTTCTTTTAAACAAAAATCCTAACTCCTAGGTTAATTCCATAAGTTTCATAGCAAAACCATCGTTCACTAATAATTACCAATGGTCTTTCATCAAATAGGTCTAGACTTTATATCAAAACATAAAATATCAACATATTCACGAGTAGGAAAAGAAGAAAGAAAAGAAAACATAGAAAAAGTAGGGGCTGAGCCCTTGTTTTTGTCCAAGAAGAAGAAGCTTGTGTATTGATCAGATAGAATTTTCAAATTCTCCCTTGCTTATTGGTTCAGGTTTTAGTCTTCAAGAGTTCCAGAGAGTATCCACTGACTTGTGCGCTAGTCAAACCCAAACAAATAAGAAAATAATAAAAAGAAGCTAGTATATGAATTATGAAAATACTACAAACCCACAAAATGAATAATTTAGTTTCGCAATGTCTTTTTTGTAACACTATAATATCATAAAATGAAAAATATAAAAGCATTATGTGGAGACTTGTATAAAATAACTAATATTCTTGGGCGAGGCAACCCTCCATGGGCACCTTGTTGCCTGGTGGATCTTGACAACTACGGGTAATATATATTTGTCCAATAGGTCCTATATGAGAAAAGTTTATGCTAGACAATTAGGCCAAACAAAAGATCAGATTAAATGACCCTAACATCCACTCTCTCACCATCCAAATGCCTGGTGTGCTAAATGCTTCATGAAAGAAGTTGAGAAATAAACTATATAGGACCACCCAACTGGGTTGATTTTGGGGCTAGAAGTAGATGACCCATGGTCCTATGCAGCATCTACATGTATTGGTAGACTATAGTACTTTTTTTATTTGTATGCTAGCCTACACTAGCTGAATCAAGACAGACAGGAAAATGATTCTGGCTGCAGCAGGAACACAATGGCACACCCATAGTGGTAGCAGAAAGTACACTGAAAAACTTAATATATGCAACCCAAACAGTGCAGCAGAAACATGAAAGGCTCTTTGCCACGAACTAGCTCTTACCTTCAAGATTTGTACCAGAAACCCTAATTTTGTGTTGCATAGTACTGAGGAGCCAACTCAGGTAACCACAATGGATCAATTCTTGTTATATTGCGAATGTAATTATGATTTGTTCGAACTAGTTCGTTGAAAATTATACACTCTGGCTTGGTCCGGAACAACACTGAAGATGGATGAATCTGCACCACCTGACTACTTGCCAAAGCCCTGTCAGGTTATAGTTTTTAAGATGAGAACAGAATACTCTGTAAGAAGGCATTTACACAGAAAATATTGAAACAAAAATAGTGTGCTCAGAAGCTACCAAAATAGTGCCCAACTACTACAAAATTATTAAAACATCTCCTTAATGGTAAAGGCAAGAATTTAGCGATAGAATAACCAAGTGCCACAGGAAACGATGCATCCTTTTCACCAATCTCATGGTAAATTTAGTAAGCAAAGACGAGCAGTGTAGTAAATAAAGAATTTAGAGAAAATATAGAAACTAAAGATTGCACTCCAACCAGAATGCAATATTAAGTGGTTAAAAATTAGAAAGAGATCTCTCTCCTCTAAAGCTATGYATGGTTTAATAGAAAATAAAAGAATACAAAAAGTTGAGGGAATGTACCTAACAAATCTTGTAAAACTTACTCTCAACTTTCTGTTTCTCTTTTACTTTCTATCAAACCAACTAAAGGGACAACTCACTGTCAATATGTGGGCCTTGTCAATTTAGAAAAATATGGAGTCAAAAAGACTTAGTGATCAACTTGTGCAAAATTATTAGGAAAACAAACCATCTGGATTGGTAGAGAGAAAATTTATTAAGGATAACTAACAATGAATTGGACATCGTCATTTGTTGAAAATGAATTTTAAGTTCTCGAAATATATATCACAATATGAGACCTGTAGGATCCATCAGGCTGCCTCAATGCTGCATTAAGGAAAAAAGCAGCAGCAAGACATCTACGGAACTGAAGCATGTCATCCCCACATGATGCAACACGAAAACCCATTTGTTCAACATGTCCTTGAATTTGACTGCAAAAAAAGAATAAAAAAAGTAAGAAAGCACATAAAAAAGGAAAAAAAAGAGGAAAAACTGAATCAAATGGCTAGGAAGATCTACATAAGTTCCAATTTGGAACAAGAAATTTCCTAGATGGGACCCATCAAATGTTTTGTCCCATACCTCTTCATGTCTTTTCTTATATTGAACAGGCAAGCAGGGAGATTAGTTGGAGAGACCAACATTCACCCCCTCCCGGTGAGGCCATTACAAGGAAAGTAAAACAAATATGGGTCAAAAAGAAAGGAATTCAAATAAATGACTGGATCTCATAAAGAGCTACTTATCCACATTGAAAGTATTTAAAAGCACAGCATAGAGCTTAAAGTTTTCAAAACCTGTGAATATCTCGAGCATGTCTCAAGGAGCGGTTATTGATAAAATTTTCCTTGCACCATTTGCTAAGGCTTCTTTCAGCTGTTTTGTCTTTATTATTTGCCATTTTGACCTTCTCCAACCACTCAGCAGAAGCCCGATACACAGTCACCAAAGTGAGATGATCTCCCTCAGCACTTGAAAAGCATTTCCTTGCAGCTCTTGCCTAACCAGTTGGCAAGAATATAATCAGAATGTCTAGCTAATTCCAACTTCTAATGAAAGAACTGACTGCTTTTGAAGAACTGAGAATGTAATCAGAAGTTGAAATACAGGAATTGAAAACAAACCCAATTACAAGGTCAAACAAGTTTAATGAGCTGTACATCCTTTGTAAAAAGGCTTTCTAAAAAGTAAATATTTTTTCTGTTTCTTTTGACAACAAAGTAGCATTTGCCAGCAGGCAGCACCCACCTGTATGCTTAATACTCAAGCAATGTCTCAAAGACATGTACGACAATTATAGAGTAGGGCACAGCTCTATAATTGTACCATGGAAGAAAAACAACATTTCATTAGGTGGATGACTTACCCTTAAAGTCTATTCTAACAAGTATCCATCTCTTCTACTTGTCAGTCCTTAGGGCACCAAAGAGAGCAGTAAAATTATAGAAAAGATAATTAAGGGACTTTTTGAGGGAACCAGGGGAGGGCAAGAAAGATGATTTGCTAAATTGGGAGAGCATGTGCAGGGTTAAGGAGAATGGATGCCTTCAAATCAGAAGAATAAAGGACAAAAATACAGCATTATTGGGTAAATGGCTCTGGAGGTTCTCAGAAGAAATAAATTTCCTGTGGTTACAATAAGAAGCAAATATGGGATGCATCATAATGGTTGGGATGTAGGACTAGCGATCAGAGTCACTCATAAATGCCCTTGGAAAGTGGCCGAGGTGAGGAGTGAACCCTTGTGTGTTTGTTTTCCAAGATTATATGCCATAACCACTTACAAAACAGATTTCTTTCATTGATAGCCTCATGTCACACTCAAATGTCTCATGGGACTTCAGGTTCGGGAGATGATTGAAAGACCATGAAACACTTGAGATCATTAGTCTACTAGAAATCCTCAAACCTATTTTCATTAATCCACATGGAGATGACCAAACAATCTGGAGCCTGGATATTTTAGGTCACTTTTCTTGTGCATCTTTTTACAAATTCCTTGATAAAAATGATCAAGGTGAAAGTTCTTTGGATTGGACCTGCACCACCAAAGCCTGGTATTTTGCTGGGAATCCATGTTGAAAATTATCAACACAAATTATCATCAGTCTCTCTCTCTCTCTCTCTCTCTCTCTCTCTCTCTCTCTTTGTGTGTGTGTGTGTATGTGTGTGTGGAGGGAGATGGTTAGCATATTTAACTCTAAAGATCCAATAACTACATCCAAACATGTAATGCAGTCACTTCATCATACAAGAATTGCACATCAAAACACAAAATGAAATAAGTTGGGAATGGGAAAATACCTCTTCCAACTTTTCGCGAGGAGTATAAAAAATAGATTCCACTGAAAGCATTGCAACAGTTATCAACATTTCTTCCAAGCAGTTGAACTGATTAGCTAATATAAGAGCTTTTGAATAAATTGGGTCCAAGGGTAAACGGGCCATTTGATGCCCAACTGGATCTGACAGTTTGTAATCATCAGTCAGAGCACCTAGCAAATACAACTGCTCCAAAGATTTGACTATAGCCATCCTGTTCAATTTTATGAAATAGTCAGCATTACTAACAAGCAGAAGTTCAGCAGCAAGATTTTAGTATTCAACTTCTAAACGGAAAATAACTGTTAGGGGAACACGGATAGACCCTTAACCAAAGTGGATAATTAATGTAATCTTAACTCAACAAGTGATTAAAAGGAAGTTACAATAAAATTGCATTCTTTTAGAGAAAAATAAGCAACAGATATCAAAATGGTAAAAAAATTGCAGGAATTGAACAGAACAGGATTTATGTGACTGACCCCATATAATTGGACAAGGTTTAGTTGAGTTGAGGACCATAGCTGTTAAAAAATAATAGTTTTAAAGAAAAATCATGGATAGTTGAATTTGTAGACCATTTCATAGGTTTTTCCCATAATTCAAATATTTGAAACCGGACATTTTTTTCAAACTCTACATTTCCAAAGTGTGCAATAGATTTAACTACACAGGCACCTTCATAAATTAATAAATACAAAAAACAAGGTCATTTGGTGCTTATCCTCAAATCGGTGTGCTCTGGGCAAAACTTCTGATAAGATTTGTTATTATTTACTAAGCTCCTACCCATTTGTTGCATGTATTTTAGAATGGTTTTTCTCTCTTTCTGGATGCAGGTGAATCCCTCTTTCAAGCATGACTAATTTATTTTCTTTGTTATCATTTTCATAGCCTAGAAAAGGGGAAGAATCATGTGGAGGTGTACTAGAGCAGCACTTATTGGACAGTTCAGCAGGAGAGGAATGCTAAAATATTTGAGAAGTAAGGAGGCATTAATAGAATGCATCGCATTTAGTGATGCAAAAGAAATGGATACCACCAGAAAGGGGATTCACAAAATTTAATTTTGATGGCAGTATTCTTGGGAATCCAGAGCCTTCTGGGGTGGGAGGGGTCCTTAGAGATGAAGGTCATGTGATTGCATTATTCTCGGGACCAATTGGTGTGGGTGATTCAACAAGAGGAGAACTTTTTTTTATCAATAACAGAATAATTCATTAAACAGAGAAAAGGATACAAATGGAGGAGATAACCTCTCTGTTAACCCCTTGTTTTGCTAACCCATCAGCAAGGGAGTTTGCGCATCTCTTAACTCAATTAACCTTAACTTCCATATCTTCCATTAGCCACTTGAATTTTTTTCTTCTCATTACTGTACACCTACAACCCATTGTTGTCTCCCTTCAGCCATTCCACCACCAGCTCTTCAATGATCAACTTCCATATATTTAGGTCCTTAATTCTCTGCACACCTTCTAAAGCTGCCAAAATCTCAGATCTAAGAGAATCACCAGCTTCAATAGGGCCTGAGAACAAGGCGATTATTATCCCTTTCTCATCCCTTAACACACCTCCAATACCCGAGGGCCCTGGGTTACCAAAGCTGCTCCCATCAAAGATCAATTTGTGAAAGCCGCTTGGAGGGGGAACCAAACTGGGACTGATACCTCCTTAACCAGGACTGAGAAAGCAACTTCTCTCCAGTTTCTGGACAAATCATCTATTGATACATTGTTGAAGAGTTCCAAAGATTTGAACCAATCCATTACCCTGAAACAAATCACCTCCTGAATAGATTCCTTGTTTCTCTCCTTCCCCGAGAATAGTCTGAAATTTCTTTCTTTCCAGATGATCCATATAATAGCAGCCCTTACACAACGCCACATTATTCTTCCTCTTTTCTTTGGCAATCTGAGGAAGGACAGAGCAAACAAGCTTTTCACATCTGGTGGTGGGACCCACCTGCAACCAAACAAAGAAGAAAACCATTTCCATAAACCTTKAACAAAGGAGCAGGAAATCAATAAATGATAGCAACTCTCACCATCAACCTTACAAAGAAGGCACCAATAGGGAGACGAACAACTCTTTGGTCTTTTTCCTTGAAGCAAGTTGATTCTTTCCAGGTATGCTTCCCAGCAAAAACATCCAATCCTCGAAGGAAAAGATAGACCCCCACTAACTACTGGTTGGGTTATGGAATTGAAGAAAGATGAGCAAGTAAACAAACCATGAGGAGTGGGAGTCCAAAATCCAAATTCTTTTATCAGCTTGGGAGGTATCCAAAAACACCCCACCCAGAACACCCAAAAGAGACAAGGTACTATTTAACTCAGAATCTCCAGTTGCCCTTCTAAATCCCAAATCCCAATCAAATCCAGACCTTGAGTTGGAAGGAACCAAGAAGGTTGAATGCAAATTATACCTGATCCAAGGCAAGAACAACGGAAGGATGGCTTGGATGGATTTCCATGGGGATGCCCTTGAAGTCCTTGCTCTAATTCCAGTGTTCCAGCCATTTGCCACTAATCCATGGATGCTCACCACTACCTTTGCCCACAGCTTTTCTTTCTCAAGAGGAAATCTCCAAAGCCATTTGCCTAACAACGCTGAGTTCCGATTCTGTACATTCCCAATTCCCAGACCCCCTAGCTTCTTGCTCCTACACACCACTTCCCACCTAACCCTATGATCCTTTTTTTTCTTCCCCTGGTTCCCACAAAAGGACCAGCATTAGGTTCTCTAACTTCCTTGCTATCCCACTGAGGATTTTAAAAACCGACAAGAAATACATAGGTAGGTTTGCTAGAGTGGACCTAATTAAGGTGACCCGTCCTCCCTAGTGTTTTAAAAGTGCAAGGCGCAAAAAAGGCACAAGGGTCAATTTGCACTAAGGCGCAAGGTGCAAAGTGAGGTGAGTGCCTTTTTAAGCAAGGCACAAAATTAAAAAAATCCAAATAAAAAAATGCAAAAAATCCAAAAATTATTAAACATAACATTAATAAAAATATAAACTTAAATTTTAAAATAAATGTTTTAAAAAACCTATTATCTAAAATTAAAAAACATAAACATAATATGTAAAGCATATTCAAATGAGAATTTAAAAATAAAATCAAACATATAAAATATTTTCAAGCATATAAAACACAATCTCTTTTTTTCTCAATTACATTACTTCAAGTAGCTAATGTGACATATTATAATCCTGATTCTATGAGCTGTTTTTGTGCCACGCCCCTCGAGGCAAAAGCCCAAACAAGTCCATGTTAGGGTCTTAAATTCTTAGTTTTCACACAAAAAATAATGATTTTATACTTTTAATTGCTTTTTAAGAAGATATTTTATTAGAATGAAGATAGTTTTAATTGCTTTTTAAGAAGATAGTTTTAATTGCTTTCTAAGAAGATAGTTTTAATTGCTTTCAAAAGGTGCGCGCCTAGGACCTGGGCGAGGTGCCTACCCTAAAATGCATCTCGCCTGTGCACCTAGGCGCGCCTTTTTAAATCACTAGTCCTTCCATGGATAAATAATTCTGTTTCCAAGAGGCAAGGCAAGTCTCTTTTCAAACCTCTCCACCACAGGGATCTAGAAGCTCACTTTCCCAAGGTTATCACCTAGGGGGAGACCTAGGAATTTCATAGGCCAACTGGAAACCACACACCCCAGAATATTAACACACTCGTCCATCCCCCTCTCCCCCATATTAATTCCAACAATGAAACTTTTCTCAAAGTCTTTATTTATTTATTTTTTTGATCAATGGGACTACCTAGCTAACATGCCAAACCGAGCCACCACTCTGACTTTTCTCAAAGTTAACCTTTAAGTTTGATATAGAGGCGTAAATCGGGTCATGCCACTCGCGGCCCAGCACGACGGCACCAGGTTGTGCCAGGCACGACACGATCGTGCGAGTCATGTTGGGCCGGGGGTTTTAGGTCCATGGGCCGGCGCGCCACGGCACAACTGTGTGTTCCGTGCCACCCATGGCCCACGTGCCAACATGGCCCAGCACACAGCACGACCCGTCGGCCCATAGTGGGTTGAGCATGGCCCGCCAAAGGAACTAGCCGTTGGGGACCCCCAACAACTAGTTTTAGCTTTTTGGRATTTTTTTACAAAAATACCCCCAATAAGCTATAATAGAGGGGGTGTTTATGTATTTTGGCTTTAGGGGAGAAAAAATAGCAAAAATGCCTCCCAACAACTAAAAATAGCTAGTTTTAGGGTATTTTCGACAATTAAATTATTTTCAATTCCTATAAATAGCCCTATCCTCCACCATTCTCATCACACCAATTCAGCAATTCTCTCATACTCTCTCAATCTCCCATACACTCTCAAACTCTCAATACTCTCTCTCTACTCTCCAATTCTCAAGTCTCAACTTTTTTCAAGTTTCAACAAGAAGAAGGCTTGCTCAAGTATGTCCAATGGAACCAATTCCAAGCATGTTCAATGGAAATGATGTTCAGTCACAACATGATAGCGTTAGCATTGATATGGATGCTACTGACATTACTGAAGTTCCCACCCCTAGTACTACTACTAGGGGAAGGAAAAAGAAGGGAACTAAATTGACAAGCCAGGTTTGGAAATTATTTAAAATAGAGGTTGAGGGGAAGGAATAAATGGTCGTTTGCCAAAAATGTAGGAGTGACTAGGGATGACATTTGCTCACACATGAGAAATAAGAAGGGAAAGAAAAATCACAAACACAAATTGGGCGTGGGGGTTTTGGTACTTTTAAATATTCACAAGAAAAAATGAGGCAAGAATTTGCAAAATATATTGTACATGCTGAACAACCATTTTTATTAGTTGAGTATAGTAAACTTGAAAAAAATTTACATAATTCTGTAAATCTTCAATTTAAAAAAAAAATCTAGAAATACTATTAGAGCAAATGCTTTGAAAATTTTTTATTCATATAAACAAATTTTAATTTCTATTTTATCAAATCTTAATTCTAGAGTTGCAATTATTTATGATATTTGGACCTCTAAATTTAATATAAGTCATATTTCTGTTACTGGTCATTTTATTGATGAAAACTAGCTTTTACAAAAAAGAATTTTAACTTTTACTAGGCTTGAATGGCCACATACTGGCACAACTATTGCTACAAGTATTTTAAATACTTTACATGCTTATGGAATTGAAATGAACTTTTTTCTATTAGTTTTGATAATGCTAGTAATAATGATT